GAATTTTTACTTTACTTTAACTATTTTAATAAAATAAAAATTACTATCATATAACGTTCTTTTTTATATAAATGAAATAAATTTGTTGAAATTTAACTCAATTTAATTATTACAGTCACATTAATATATTAATAAATTAAATTTTTAATTTCATTAAATTAAAAACTATATATTATATATTAATTAATGTCAACTCAAAATAATATATCTGCAAAGTAATAAATTTTGTATTTTTAATGAAATTCGAGTTCATAATTATTAAGTAAAGCACAATTATCTCAAGCATCGTAAGCGATAATGTTGGTAATTTTGAAGTCTTCTTGATAATGGGGGAATGGGAAAACTTCAATATAGATAAAGTTCATTGAATATGTAACTCTCAAAAAATATCCAATTCATTCATGTACATCTATCTAGATAGCAACATATTAGCTACCACAAATTTATTAAATTAATATATCAAATTTACAAATTTTTTTGAACTCTACAAATCTTTTAAATGTAATTAATTAACAATTTTGAAGTTGAAAATAAAATATAATAATATATATATATATATAAATTAAATGAACTTATAATAGATATAGAAACTTTGAAGCCAAGTACTTGGAATGCATAAAATAAAAGTTCATCTAATTTTAATTTTAATTAATTGTTACATGAGGATTAATTAATCAAGATTAACATTAATTAATGAATTAGGTGTTATGTCATAAATAGATTTTTTTATTGTTGCCTTTGCCAAAACATGAATAAGTTGTTATCTCCTGCAATGACGGCTTATAATGTATAACACACTTATTTGAACATGTTACATGTGCAATTTTTTCAATTATAATTAAATGTTCTATAATTAAATAGTATAATACGTAATATTTATTAATTTTTCATAATTTTTTAAATGTGTATTTTTCATGTGAATAAATGACAATACTATATAATTATTAAAAATAAATTCAAATACACACTCCTATGTAAATAAATAGAAGTAATATAAGTTAAACAATTATTAGTTATAAATATTTAATTTAATTATTATTATACTCAATGTACATATTAATTATCATAAATTTAAATATATTTTCTTCCGTATAATAAATAAAAATGTTGTAATACCTTCAAGATCCAGATGTATACATATATATATATATATTATATATACATTATACTTTATTTGGAACTAAATTTCATCAATATATTTATATCATCAAATATATTTATGTCAGATATATATATATATATATATATATATATATATATATATATATGTATATATCAAAATGGAACATTACTTGGGAGCTGACTTGATAGTGATAGCTCAAGGAATACTAGTATGATCTGGATATTTTTAGACTTGATTAATAATTAATTATCAAAAATTTATATAAAAAAATAATATCAAATTTATTAATTCAGTAAGTTAATAACTTAACCTTCTATAGTTTTTTTTTAATAATAAATTTCATAAATCTAATTACATAAAAAGTAATTTTTTCAATAAAATATCAACAAAATGTAAATCACTTGACAATAAAAAAAAATTGCAATTAATATTAATAAATAAAATAAAAAATTAAAATAAATAATAAAATCAGCTTTAAATATATACATAAAGAGAAATTAATATTAAAGAGTAGCACTTAAATTTAAAAATAATGATATGTTTGAAAGTCAACATATAATAGAAAATTATGGTTATAATAAATCTTTAATAAGTTAAATAATATGTTTGACATATTAAAAATTTTTCAAGAGATCAAATTTTTTTGGGAGTGTGAATGGGCACACCCAAGCCCACACACACACACACCCACCCATACATGCATGCATGCATACATACATACATACATCCATCCACACATGCATACATATATATATATATATATATATATATGTATATATGATAGTTAAGTGAGGGGTAGATGGGGGGAAAAGCACAAGGTGACGAGAGGAAGAAAAAGAGTAGCTTTCAATATTTGTCAAGCATGACTCAAAGCCACTTTCAAGTCTCACCCCACCATGTGAACTTTCTCTTGTTTTAAATTTGATGCCTTGAGCTACCACTTACTCACTCACCTTTTCAATCTACCAAGTGGAACTCAACCTAACACTTTACACTTCTTTTATTTAAATTCCTAATTATAACAAGTTTTTTCTTCTTTCTCAACACATTTTTTTTACTTAATTCAATTTTTATATGTAGAGAGCCTGAAAAAGCTCAAAAGTTTCTAATCATGTCAAAAAAACAATACCCATAAAGGAAAAAACACAACCCACATTGACCATATATATATATATATATATATAAGATTCTTTTGGTAATTAATGGGTTTTTAATATGAATTTTAGGACTATTGATATTACTTTTTTATCCAAAAGCTAGAAACCACATAAGAAGACAAATTGAAATGTATAAAAGCTAATGACCAACATTAATAAACATGATTAGATACCCACCAATTATGTGCTACTAATTAATGTACACTATATACCTACATTACATCACAATTAATCACCCTTAATTATTTTGCTTTATTTGTCACGTATAGATTTTAGAGATAATATTATTTTCATTCTATTTAAATTATAGTAATTGCCTCTTTAATGGCTATTATATTTTACAACATAGTAGAATTTTAATGTTCATTGAATTTTATCACATGCACATTGTATAAAAGCAAGAAATTTTGGGTAATGGGTAGTACTTAAAGAGTTTTGTTTGCACATCTTAAGAATATATAACATAGGTATATATATATATATATATATACATAATGCATTCTTTTAATGAATCAATATACACACATGAGAATGGTTAAAAGAAAAGAGAAGGTTTACCTTTCTTTATTTATTATCCTAAACATGCTTGATTAGAAATAGTATTAGCAAAGGTAAAAATGATTTAGGTAATTATTATCCGGTTGTTAAATCAACTTTTTATGAAAAGATTAATGCTTTATACTTTACCTAAATATATAATGGAGTGGGCTTAAAACCCTTTTAGGGTTATCATGTTTTAATGTGTTAAATAAAGATTTGAAGTGATTAATTTTTCTAACTTCAAAATCCACAAACATAAGTTTGCTATATTATTTTTAGTGCAAATTAGCAAGTTAGGTGTGATTAGGCTTATCGTTTGTAGAAAAGGTGAGAGCCCGGCGGAGAACGCCTTTGAGTGGGGAAGAAGGTAAGCCCCACCAAATATATATCTACATACACACACACACACACACACACATATATATATATATATATTTTTATAAGAGTCTACAAAATACCTTAGCTTGCAAGAGAAAGCTACAAATAACAACATTTGCATGCTAATCTACTCCATTCGTATAGATATGGACAAACAAAGATGACCCAATAGTTTGCAAAATTTTGGAAAACCAATATTTATATATATATATATATGTGTATATATTATATTATATAATCGAAAGAACATGAAAGAAATTGCTTGATGGAGACATTTCATCCTTGAGTTTCTTGATCCCATGTGAGGGCCCTAATTACGTATAATCATTCCACTTGTTTTGGGTTGAAGATATCATATAATAACTTGACCATGCAAGACTTGTTCATCATGTTATTAGTATTTTTTAAACAAAAATTTATACATTTTAATAATTAAATTATACCTATGTATTAATAAACACCATAATTAATAATATTATAATTTTTTAATAAAAATACATATAATACAAAATTCGATTTAAAATCTACATTTTTATTAAAAAAAAATAAAAATTTTAATCATTTTATCAAAAAAAAAAAAAATTAACAGAACTAATAATATTACAATCTCTTAATAAAAATATACATAATATATAATTTAATTTGAACCCATATTCTTATAAAAAATAATAAAATTACTAAATATTTAGTCAATAAATAACTTATCATTTTAATTAAAATTTAAAATATTTTTAAATAACTATAAATATTAAAATTATTATTTTTGTATTATATTTTAAAAAAAGAAAAATGCATATCGTTAAGGGAATATATGCGTTGACTAGTTCGCGAATTATAGTTTCTCGTTGAAATTTGATCTTTATCTGCATACTCATATACCAGATGATCTCTAATAACTTATTACGAACGATGTCATAAAACTTTTTTTTTATTAGTGATATGTTTGATGAATTTTTAATTTTTTTTTTTAAATTTTATTCTTTTTAATAAAATAAAATAAAATAAACAATTTAAAGTAGTTACAAAGAAGAGAAAACGGGTATGTCAATTCCGATATTTATAAAAACATTATAAAAAAAAAACTATCATTTCTAAAATAGATAAGAATTTTTTTAAAAATAAAAAAAGATGGCCATATATATATATATATATGGAGGTGGATATATATATATATATATATGTATAGATATGTAATGATTAAAGGTTAAAAGCGTTGTGTGTTTTGGGGAAGTGAAATCTTATAAGCAACTCCAATCACTTGTTGCCCACCACACCTCGCATCTGTTTCCCTACCAACAAAATTGCAGCCTTCATTTATACCCACCAAATTTCTCTTTCTTTTTTTAAGATCAATTATCTTAGTTCTTATAATATATCATTTCAA